ACAAAACGTAAACATTTCTACCATAAAGGTTATAGGTTAAAGGTGAAAGATCTTAGGCCAATATCTCATTAGGATGCAACAAATCGGGTGATAAGTGACAAATTGCGAAAGGTATTTGTGAGCGTGTTTCCAAAAATGTTTGCAAGGATTTTCAGGGAGGAGGTATTCCCCTTGATCTATAGCACCTTTAAAACACTTATGTTGTGATCTGGCTCCATTGAGACCCTCCCAATAAAAGGGACGAGGAAACATTGACGTTATTAACACACTTTGTGACTAAGAGCAGCAAAAATATTAACCCAAACATCACAGTTAATTTGCTGTTTTGACAAAACTTAAATGTGTTAAAAGTATAAAAACTGTGAGACTCCAACTAAAAAGTAGTAATTTTATGTAATCAAGTGGCTGCTTGGTGACACATTGACTGTGCTTATTGAGTATATTAAAGAATGTGCTATAAATAATCCTCGTGTTCTTTTGGCTAGTAAACATCTTCTTCTCGCTCTCACAATTAAAATAAAGCAGTTCAATAGAAGAATAGAATAGACTTTATTAATCCCACAGTTGGGGAAACTCACATCACATACACTTTGAGAATAGAAAATAAATAATACAGGTAAATACACAAAGGCTATTATTGTAACCTTCAGCAATTAAATAATGAAAAATGGAGAGTTTAGTTTCCAAAAAGAAACAGCGTAAATGACACAGGCATACAAATGTGCATCCGGGTATTACACACGTACTGAATATAGCACTGGTGTTGGCGTATAAGGATAATGCCAGTACCAGTTTAACGGAGGAGTTATACACTCTTACCGCCATGGGGGATGTGTTCTATTTTACATCTGAGATGTCAGTCTGCCACTAAAAGAGCTGTCCATGGCCTCCACAGTGGGATGCAGTTGGTGGGAGGGGTTTTCCAAGATGGAGGATGGATGGATACATCTACTTTAATATTTAAAATGAAGCATTCTTTACCACTGCAACAAGTTAATGAAACCAAGTAAGTTTGTAGGCTGATGGCAGGAAAATAAATGGCATGCTTGTTTGAAACCAAGAAAAGTTTAACCCTTTCTTCATTCATTTTCTGTAATTTATCCAAATTACTGACTCCCCCTGCTTTTAGAACAAACCAAAAATATATTTTATTAATATGGTGAATAAGAGCCACTCGCAACAGAAATAGGAGAATTTTCTGCTGCTGGCGTTGGATGTCAGAGGTTATCCCAGATTGATTATTCAGCCTTGGCCTTAGGAGAGGACTGTGTTCGGTTCATTCCTGAGTGCATTCAGACTCCCCACAACACAATATACTCCACAAATAGTTGATTTGTTATTGTTTATTCTTGTTTGGATCATAACATCTTTTCCTAACCTGCCACTGCCTCTCGTATCACCAAACACACATTAGAATGTCAAACACATCTTTTCCGTCCTGATCCATATCTGCCGAGCCATTCTTTTTTTGTTTGTTCATCTCCTCTTTCTCTCCCGTCTCCAGCCCACTCCAGCAAATGTTACCTTTTCATATCTTGGCTGGGAAAAATAAGCGGAGTGGATCTGCAGGCACGATAACCTCCTCATCTGAACTGAAAATGTCACTTTGCTCAGCCAGCCAATTGCGATTCTCTTTCCAGGCCGGTGTGTCTCTCTTATGGGCTTTCACGCCAGTGACACAGAGACTGGGCTGATGTGCCCACATGAATGAGAATCAGTCAGCGGGACTCTCAGGTGTGGCCCGCCGAGGCCGACTGAAATATCAGGAAACTGAATAATGCGGTGGCAACACCAAGCTGAGGTTTGCAGTGTGAAAGCTAATTAGTCAAGCAGATGCAGATAATGCTGCCCAAAGTCAAACCATCAATCTGATGCAGATTTTAATTAAGAACTACTTGCAGGTATTAATAGTATGATTATGGGGAAGCGTTATAGACAAGTCCAGTTCTGGTCTATAGATTTAGGTTTTCTTCACTTATGCTAACTCCTTTAAAATGAGACACCCCTTCAGGATTTGGTTCTTCCAGTAATGGTTGAAATAAAACTAGTACCTCACTGTGACTGTGACAAATTACAAACAGCATTTCTTTTAAGAGTTTCCAAAATGTCTTAGTTTTCTCTCCTGAGTCACACAGAAACACTGGATTTTTGACCATAGCCAAAAATTTTGCAAGATGCATTTTCTTACAACACTCAGCAAGTCATCTCTTCTGGAAACCACCCAGAACCTGAGAGTCGGCGACTCAAGAAATGTGAAAAATTGACAACGTAAAGAGTTTGGCAAGCCATGATGCCAAGTTGTAGATTGGAGACAAATGTAGAGTATACATTTCTGAGCTAAAAAATAGCAAACTGAGAAGAATTTCAGACATGATTAGGATTCTTTCATCAGATTGTTGAAAATTTTGTTTGCAATTTTGACCTAAACTAAAGTCTCGCACGTACCCATTCAGGGTGATTCCATTTCCAACTGAACATTTTGCGTATCGTCTTGAAATGTTGTCTCTTCCAACCCATTTAAGATTGACAATGACACCCTCTTTTATTGATCAGAATAGATCAAAGTAGATATTAAAGGTCTTGTAGACGTAAAAAAAATTTACCTATGACAAATGCTATTGTTAGCATATTTTTGTTTTTAAGTAATTACACTCAATGTGTCCTTTGCTTCATGATGTCAGCTTTATTGTGAAAGATTAACATCTATGTGGGAGGTGTCTGATTCAGTTGATGAGATTAAATAGAGGCTAATTTTTGTGTTCCTACCATGTCACTGTTTACATTTTTTTTCTAGGAAGGTATAGATAGCCCCGCCCACTTAGAGCTCTTACATCACTGTAACTGTTGAGGCAACCATGCCCCTCACAGTGTGTGCATTCAAAACATGGAGGGAATTGGTGAAAAGGCTTTATTATTTCATCCTGTCCCTTGTCCCTTAAAACATCCTAATGTTGCTGCCCTGATGGCATGCTAACATTAACCCAACTTGAAATGTGACTTTGAAGGCTGCTGGTTGTTCCACCGGTCTTACGCAAGAGCCATTACAAAAATGAAGCATGTTGTCAAAGCTTTCAGCAGAATCAAGGCAATCAAGCATTTTGTTCCATATGTATTCTCTCTCTCTCTCTCTCTCCCTCAAATCTCTTGTGAGTGCAATCTGCTTCCCTGGCCGTCAGCTCATATCGCCCAAGCGCAGAGACAAAACTGAATTCAGAGCAACGTCTGAATTTGCATTCTAGGTAATGCGTTCTTCACACACAGAAAGATGGGAGATGGGCGCATGTATGATTTTCAATTACATTACAATGCTGCTGTAATGGATCTGTGGCCCGGCCTCCAGTGTTTTTCTGTGTGATGGCATATTTTAGGGATGAGACCATCAATATTTAGGGCAGAAATGTGACATCTACTCATAACTCTGAAAAACACTATCAGTCTCCTGCTTTGTTTTTTGTAGCCAGTGATGAAAAGCTACAGGAAATGAGCTTTTTTCACCTGTTAAACTGACGAGGGCAGCTTATCAGTCCTGTTCTTTGTTAATTTCAGCCACCAGCTACAGGCAGTGGAGTTTTGCAGAACAAGTTCTCACAAATGATCGGAATTTGTAAAACAGAACATGCTTGAAATTCATGATTGATAAAGAAAAAGGCTTGTTGACATTTTTGTTGTTCAGAGAGTTGGGATCCATGTTTAAGCACAGTTGTTTTACTCACCCATCTTCTGATCTCACTTTTCAAGGATTCACAAACGTTCCCTAAATGTGATCGGATTTCTGTTTTTGTTTGACTGGCAGAGCGGTGACCTTTTAACAAGAGGTCACAGTCTGGAGCCAGCTGGACCCCAGGGCAGGTCTTTGCTGGCGAGCTTGTTTAAGGACATTTAGTCCACTCAAAGAGTGTCAGGAGACATGCTCCTCTGTGAATCTTTCTGTCTGGATCAGAGAGGCAGCTCACGGCATCTGGGAGTGCTCAGCATCCTGTTGAATAATAACTAATACAAGAGGAAATGTTGCCAACATCTAATAGGAAATTAAATATTCACTAGATTACTGTGGCATTAATAGGAAATATTAAACAGACTGCTAGATTGCTTTTCAGATAATCTTAGTTAAATTCTTGAGGTGGATTGACATTTTTTTTACGGAATATCTTTAAAAATCAGTGCAGCCAATTCTTGCTGCAGGTACAGAATTTTTTTCCTGTTTTTTTGGCCCATTGGTTCTTTTTTATTCAACAAATACAGTCGCTTCAATGGCCATTTACAATAAACCTTAAAGGTTGAATATGGAACAATTTAATAAAAAGCTATATTTAAAAAAAACTCCACAGGATGTTTAGAGGTAGTCATGAAGGTACAGTATTTCCTTTAAAAGCAATATTTTAATTAAAATAACCACATATTAATTTTTATGAGCACAACACTGGGTTCATGTTTACATCTACCAGCCAATAGAGGGCACCATTGCAAGTTGCCAAATACGTAGAACAGTCCTATCGGCACAGCGAGACTGGCACTGTGGAAAATGGTGGACTCGGCTAATCTAGCAGCTGCTTCTGAGCCCAGAAGATGTTCTAACAGTAAATACTGTTGTAAAATAAACATATTAGTAGAAGTTAGTCCTTACCGTGTACTATTCATCACTGGACATGGTGCTGACTGGTCACGTCATAGCGAACCTGACATCCTAGCGGCTGGAAACTTTGTTCTATTGTTGCAACTACAACCTCCACACACTAGATGATGCTATGGTGTTTGTCTTCTATATTCAACATTTAAGCTAAATACACATTTATAATAAAATTCAGAGAGAAACCTTTCTAGAAAATAATCCTAAAACAGCATACTCTTGTAAAAACACTAAGTTTTGGATTATGTGGAGCTGGTTGAAGATGTAGCATCTATCTTCCTATTGACTAAATAAGCAAAAGCACGGTCGATTAGTCAACAATGTCAAGATATATTGGAAGCTTATACCATTTCCATTTTTTTTCTTCCTCTAGTTTCTGTGTCTGAAGAACATCCGGACATTTCTCAAGGTTTGTCACGACAAGTTTGGCCTGCGGAACAGCGAGTTGTTCGACCCGTTCGACCTTTTTGATGTGAGAGACTTTGGCAAG